AGCCAGGCTCTTCTCAGTGGCAAACAATGATAGGACAAGGGGCAATGGGTACAAATCTGGAACACAAGAGGTTCCACTTAAACTTGAGAAGAAACTTTTTCTCAGTGAGGGTGACGGAACACTGGAACAGGCTGCCCAGGGAGGTTGTGGAGTCTCCTTCTCTGGAGACATTCAAAACCCGCCTGGACACGTTCCTGTGTAACCTTATCTAGGTGTTCCTGCTCCGGCAGGGGGATAGGACTAGATGATCTTTTGAGGTCTCTTCCAATCTCTAGCATACTGTGATACTGTGTGACTATCCAGCCTCAGGGAATATCTCTTGGTTCTCCTATATCATCGTGTAATCCCAGACAGGATCTGACCCTGACTCTGCTTAACTTTTGAGATCATCCGAATTGGTCATGGGTAAAACACACTCTGTATGTGTGCCAGCGTGCTGATCCCCATCACAATCAGCAGGCAGGTCTCCAGGGAACCCAAAGGCCATTCAAAACTGTCAGAACTCTCAAATAATGCTGTAAATAGTCTGGTGGGGGGGGGCTGGGAACGTAAGGGAATGTCTCCTTCATAGGTTGACCACCCGAGGAGGGGAAAAAATATGTGCAATTGCTAAACACTTCCATTATATACCTCCCAAAGTATAGAGGTGATGACCACTTTGGGAATGCAAGCAAGATCAGTTTCATGATCAATGAGCCTATTGTGTTACAAGTCATAACCATAAAGTTCAGTGAAACAAGAACCTTAGCCCAAACTCCCAGGCAATAAATACTAAAACAGCAAATAATGGCTGTACGTAAGGTACAACATGCTGAAACTCTTGAGATCAAGAGCAACAACTTTTAGATCCAATAAAACAGGACTGTGACGAGTGACTATTAATCCGAAACAATGAATGCTTATCACAAATATGATTAAACACATTCTGGTTAGATCTGTCGTTACCTCAACCCTTCACTCCCCATGTTGAGCGCCACAAAAAATTGTCATGGTTTAAGTCCAGCCGGTAACTCAGAACCATGCTCACTCACTCCCCCCTTTCTTCCTCCCCCCACTCCCGGAGGAATGGGGAGGAGAATCGGAGGAAAATAACTCCCACGTGTTGAGATAAGAATAGTCCAGTAACTAAGGTATAACATAAAACCACTACTGCTACCACCAATAATAATTATGATAAGGCAAATAACAAGGGACGAGAATACAACCGCTCACCACCCACTGACCGATACACAACCCTACCTGAGCAGCCATCTAGCCTTTCCAGAACTGCCTGTGGGAAGTGAAGGTGATAAGATTTTCATGAAGAACAGTTTGTGAATGAGCTCTGAGGCCTTGGTGCTTGACAAGCCCTGGGGCAATGAGTTGGGGTGTTGAAGGCCAGAGGATGTGGGGGTTGTGAGAGGGTCTGCAGCATTGTGATTGGACTATTTACCTGGAGAGTTTTACAGGGGCCAATGAGATTGAACATTGTATGTATGTGCAGGTTAGAAAAGTACCAAACAGGGGGATAAAAAGGGCTTGGTTGTAATAAAGTTGGATTTGAGTCTCCTCATCAGCTTGGGTCTGTGTCATGAAATGCCACAAATGGCACCCACCATGTGGGGCATGAAAAGCGACTAGTTGTCAATCCAGTAGCGTGGCTCAGCCAAACTGCTTGATGAAAGTAAGTAAAGGTGTACGCTGAAAGGAAGCGAATTCAAACCGCACGGATTGCCTCTCGCAGGACAGGGGTAAACGGCTGAGAACTATGGAGTCTGCTTTAACAAAAGAGCAAGGAAACGTTCTAGAAGATCTTGCTATATTTCTTAAGCAGTATGGGAAAAAAGTTGATGAGGATGAATTGAAACAGATCCTTCTCTGGGCATCAGAGATCTATTAATTCTACTAATATTTATACCATGGAGATTTGGGATAAAATTGGTGTTAATTTGTGGGACCATGCGGCAAACAGTGATAAAGTCGCCACCACTTTATTGAGTTTGTGGCGAGTTATTTCTGAAACTTTAAAACTTCATGCCAGCTCACAAGCACAGGGGGCAGAAGTGGTACCTTCGGCTCCCTTACCACCACCCTCTTTGTCGGACTCTGCCGTGAGACCAAAAAATCAGTCTGCTGTTATTGGTCCTGTGGTTCTGCTGCCTGATAATTCTGATGCTGACCTGGATGGTCCTTTTGACCCGGGGCCTACTGATTTCGAAAAGGAGCCCGATTTATATCTCCCAGATCCTCATGATAAATGGGCAGCCGTAAACAGAGAAGCGAGACGTGTGGGGGATGCAGACGCATTGTGTATTTTCCCGGTGGTGTATGTGCCGGATCAAGACCTGCGGTGGGAAGGTCTCTCATATGCTTTTATCAGGGGTATCGGGTGGACTGTGGCAAGCCGCGGACTTGTGATTTGGAGAAAAATCCAGGAACTTGCCAACAAAGTTTTAAGCTGACAAGCAGGTATTCTTTCTTGCGGCGCTGGGAGGCACGGGGGATGGCTCCTCCAGGCATGTCTCTCCCACGCATCAACCAGGCTGTGATTATATTGTCCTTAAACATACATATTCATTAGATTACATACATTACATCATACTTCTTAGAGAATGCCTCCTGTATGAATGCAAAAAAGTGGTAGTGGGCTTTTGGACACCTGGTGGTTATTTTTTCATCACTTTGTTTTAGGATCATTGACATATCAGTAACCACCAGGTGGTTCTGGCAAAGCTTATCTCAGTAATTTTGTTTTCTCTATAGTTGCTAACAAAGCCTAACATTCTTGAGGTTACCTATTTACAACCCTATTCTTCAATCAACCCCATTCTTCAATCCACCTTATTCTTCAATCCACCTTATTCTTCAATCAACCCCACTCTTCACTTGGAGCCCCGTATACAACTCATTTGATACAGTCTCTCTGTGATACTCATGTACTAGAAGTTGGCAAATATAAGTATGTGCATGTTTCTATAAACCCTTGGAGACCTTTATCGATATTGCTGGCCACTTCTTCCAACATAGGCTGGCCACCTGTGTCGGAATGAGTGTGCATTTTGGTCAGTATAAAAGCCCAAGCCTCATGCGATGTGGGGGAGGCAGAGCCTCTGCAGGGATGCCTGCCAAGGTTGAGCCTGCCACCTTGCACTGCAATGATGCTTCTTGGAGCTGGTTTCCCGATAGTCTTCACAGGGTCTGTGTGCCACATTCTGTATGTGGGACTGTGTTCTGGAAGTAATGATTGTCTGGATTTTGTGTTTCAAATATTGTAGTTGTGTGGACTGTGCTTGTGGGATCCCATACGTGTGTGTGTATGTTGAGGGCAGATGGTGTCCTGTCTATTTTTTTGTTGTTGGGTTCATGTAAAAGTTTTTAATGGGTAGCAGATTAACATTCCGGGCAAGAAAGGGTTAATGCAAAAGTGCAGTTGCCGGCAGGTATTTATGGTTGCTGCTGAACAGGCAGGCATTTATAGCTGCTGCCAAGCAGGCCGGAGTTTGTAGCCATGCAAAGCAGGGTGAGCAACTTCGGAAAAAAAAACAAAACAAAAAAAAAACCACGACAAAAATAAACCCCACGTTATTTGCTAGAGTTCGGTCCCCATGTTCAAAAGAAGCTGCCCTCCGATTCGGCTCCCAGTGCTCTACCAGTGGAACGGCCAGGATAGATGCCAGAGCTGTGCAGTGAAGAAAGAAAAAATACCCCAAAAACCCAAAAAAACAAACCTCTTGATCTATTGAAGTATTGGGGCAGTTTGTAGAAACACCACAAAGAAAGCCTAAAGAGCGCCTGCAACATGCTGGGTACATGGCAGGAGCCTTGCTTAGTGCGTTTAAAGTAACCTGTGGCTGAATCCAAGACTTGGAGGAACAGATCGGTTGAAACAAGAACTGCTAACTGAAAAAGCAAGAGGGGTAGTGCAACCACAAACTTTATCAGCCATCACCCAAGCAGCATCAGGGTGGCAGAGAAAGAAGGAAAAAAAATGGGTAATGATAAAGCAGACTCTTTTGACTGTTAACACTGTGCAGTTTACTTCTGCAGCTGCTTCACGTTCCTTTTGCATTAGAATGCCTCTGCTTTAAGGAATCACTTTAACCTGTCTGCTTCTCAAGAACTGATAACCCGGGGGAGGGGGTATATTTGTGTCCTCCTACCTACAGGTCCATGGCGGCTGCCTGCAAAGTTTGTCAAGCCTTACCGTGAGCTGGACAGATGAGTGGAAGAACCTGATGCCTCAGCTACAGGAGCTGACCGTGAATACCCCAAGCAGAATGAGACAGAGGAAAACGAATGATTGCAAAACATCACTTGGGGGCAACTGAAAAGTAACAGCTTGAATATGTGTGCTTGTAAAGTAGCTATTATTAGAGGCTGTGATTTTGTGTATAAAACCACCTGTATTTACTAGCCAGTTGCTAATAAGAAACTACACCTTGTATTGTATGGATTTGTCACTTGTAAAAGAGATGTTAGAGCATGCAAATTTGCAGCAGCTGTTAGAAAATGCTAAGGCAAAAGCTAGAAAGATCCTAACACAATGGTAGTGTTATAAAGTACGTAATGGAACAAATTAAGAGGGTAGGAGAAATCCTCTGGTAAGAAATTTCTTTGGCTAGTCCCTCGCTAGTTTGCTAATGTAAATCTGTGTGTGCTTTGCCATAGTAGTGACTTGTTACTGGATGAAGCAGGTGAAACTCTGCATTGACAACAAGGTGCAGGGACTGAGGTTGGCCAAATGCCTGCTACCACTGTCAAGGGCAAGACTGGGTTGGCCTCTGCATTTGCCACCAGGAAGAACCTTTAGCTCCGCTGTTGGCTGCAACCCAACAGGCGTTAAGCAGTGGGGACACATGCCATGCCAGTCCTTGATGTGAGGGATGGACTCCCCTGTTATCAGAGAGCCATCCAGGAGAAAAAGGGCAGACCAAGCAGCCTGTGATTGGCATAGGTAGGAGATATGATCTAGTCCAAATCCCCTGATCAAGTAGGGTCATCTAAAAGATATATAAAACAACAACAACAAAAAAAAGGATGCAAGGATTTTCTCCACACGGACAGTTAGCAAAAGCACAATTTGTACTAAATTCTTTAAATTTGTCTAATTTAGATTCTCTTTCCACAATACAGCGATTGTGACATCTGACAGACAATTCCTTGCCCAAACCAGTGGTTCTATATAAAGACCTACATGATAATGAGTGGGAAGGACCAGTGCCATTGCTGACATGGGGTCAAGGATACAGCTATCGACAGAACCATACTGGCTGCCAGCAAAATGTGTAAAGCTCCAGAACTCAACAACAAAAAGAAATGACAATGACAGAAATCTTTGTAATATCTGTTCTATTATGTGTGACCATGGGTAATGGACAAGTATACTGGGCACATTTGTTAAATCCCCCATTCCGACCTGTTAAATGGTGTGTAGGATTCACTGGTATGCCACATGTTATAAAGGTTCAAGTGACTTCAAATCAGACTAATCTTACTGAAATAATGCTGCCTGGAGTAGTGGGTGGTTATGTTAATTACACAGGTCAAGCAGTGATAGAGTGGGCACACCAAATTGTTAAAAAACCCACTTCTAGTAAAACAAAAAGGGGGAATGATAGGGGAGACCCCAAATGCATGAATCAATAAAGCATTGTTTGTCTAAATTTTCTAACATTATCCAGGTCTGATTTACACACGGGCACGAATGTCCCCCCAGTGATTAGGCATTTTTCTTCACTAACCCATGAAGGCCTAGATCCGATACTGGGGAAAGAACTCATTATGGTAACGCTAAAGTCTTTCGAAAATCATAACTGGGAAGGTCCTTTTAGGTTAATAAGTTGGGGAAGAGTCTCTACAGAACGAGGACCCTGATGGGTCCTCATACAATGTACCCATCCGTTTATACAAGTGACGGCTGCCAATGAAGATTGATGCCGCATTAATTGCTGGTGTGAAGTTATCTCGTAGGAGCTGTACAAAGCGAACTGATCTCTTTTTGGAGAGCCAGTCAACAGAGAGCATATCTGTGCGGGAGCGTATCGCAACTGGACTTTCCAGCCACTAGGAACAGACTGGGAACATTTGACCCCTAAAATGGTACCACTGGACAACAGGGTTGCTTTTAGATGTTGATTCTGTGAGGCATGCCTCACTACAGAACAGAACGACTGTTGATATTTACTGTTAGCTCAAGTCCATGGGTGTGAAGATTTTGACAGTAGGTGCTGCACGAATTCATCAGATCGTCCATAAAAGCATTCTGGACTTAATAACAAGGACAGCACACCTGCAGACGTATTGTGTGTTTTCCCCGTGGTGTATGTGCCGGATACATATGTGCTGAATACAGCGAACAGCGGGCGTAGGTCAGTGGCCCTTCCCAAAAGAAAAACTGCTGCAATTACACAAATTGGTGAACAACTGAAAGCTGGTCACATAGTCCCCACAACCATCCCATGGAACACACCTGTCTTTGTGATTCAGATGAAAAATAATGTTTGGAGGCTTTTATATGACCTAAGAAATACAAATGAGGTCACGGAGGATATGGGAGCTTTGCAACCTGGGCTGCCCTTGCCAACAAGCGGGGGCTGGTGGAGCTGGTCCGATAAATAAGGGGAAGAGCAGATTTGGTAGGAGGCTTGCCAGACTGGTCAGGGAGGCTTTAAACTAGATGTGTTGGGGGAGGGGGACATCATTCCATCCCAACACACCCAGTCAGTTGCCAGCTCCTATAATAAATGCTCTGAGCAATGTAGAGATATTCCAGCTGCTCCAGCCAATGAGCCGGCTTCATTTGGAGCTCGACTCAGATGCCTCTATACAAATGACCGTAGCATGGGTAACAAACAAGAGGAATTAGAGACGTGTGCATGTCTATGGGGGTATGATATAATAGCCATCGCAGAAACATGGTGGGATGGCTCCTGTGACTGGGGTGTTGGAATGGAAGGTTACAGACTATTTAGAAAAGGCAGGCCTGGCTGGCGGGGAGGGGGGGTTGCCCTTTATGTTAGGGATAGGCTGGAGAGTATGGAACTTTGACTGGGGATAGGTGAGCAGTTAACAGAGAGTTTGTGGGTCAGGGTTAAAGGGAAAACAGCTATGGAAGACATTATTGTGGGGATCTGTTACAGACCGCCTGATCAAGAGGAATCTGCGGATGAAGCACTCTATAGGCAGACAGGAAAAGCCTCACACTCACAGGCCCTCATTCTCATGGGTGACTTCAACCACCCTCACATCTGTTGGAATGACGGTACACCCGCCACAAGCATTCCAGGAGGTTCCTCGATAGTGTGGAAGATAACTTCCTTCTGCAAGTAATAGAGGAACCGACAAGGAGAGGTGCCATGCTCGTGCTCACCAACATGGAAGGGCTCGTTGGAAATGTGGCGCTCCAGGGCATCCTTGGATGCAGCGATCACGAGATGGTCGAATTTGAGATACTCAGGACAGTGAGAAGAGCGTGCAGCAAGCTCACTGGCCTGGACTTCAAGAGAGCAGACTGTGGCCTCTTCAGGAACCTGCTTAGTAAGGTTCCATGGGATATAGCCCTAGAGGGCAGGGGGGCCCAAGACTCTTGGTTGGTCTTCAAGGATCACCTGCTACAAGCTCAGGAGTGTTGCATCCCAACCAGAAGGAAGTGCAGCAGGAGAGCCAGGAGACCTCCTTGGATGGATAAGGAGCTGCTGAGGAAAATTCAAATGAAAAATGAGTCTTACAGAAAGTGGAAGCAAGGACAGGAGACCTGGAAAGCTGCAATGATAACGGTCGCCTCTTACTAGAGTTCTGTGCAGAGCAACAGCTTACCATCACCGACACTATCTTCCAGCAGAAAGACAGCTGGAAGACAACCTGGATGCATCCACGATCTAAACATTGGCACCTTATTGATTATGTTTTAGTGCGCCAGAGAAATATTTGTGATGTCTGTCACACCCGAGTGATTCCTAGTGCAGAATGTCAAACAGACCACCGCTTTGTGCATTCCAAACTTAATTTCCACTTCAAGCCCAAACCTAAGAGGGGCGGCATTCCAAGGAGGAGGCTCAATGTTGATAATCTTCAAATAGCTGCAGTGAGGGACAGCTTTCAGGCTAACCTTCAAACTAGGCTTGAAGACCAACTTATAGATTCTTCTCCTGAAGCGCTTTGGCAACATATCAAAAACAGCATCCTGCAGTCCTCCGTAGAATCCATTGGGTTCTCCTCAAAGAAAAACAAAGACTGGTTTGACGATAGCAACCAGGAGGTCCAGGAATTGCTGACAAAAAAAGAGATCTGCTCATCAAGCACACCTCGCTCAGCCACTCTGCCATGTAAGAAAAGCAGCCTTTCGTCTTGCATGTAGCAAACTCCAACAGAAACTTAGAGACATCCAGAACAAGTGGTGGGTCAACCTAGCAGAAAAGACTCAACTATGTGCAGATTTGGGTGACCACAGAGGATTCTATGAGGCTCTGAAGGCAGTGTATGGACCCACATTCCAGGTTCAAAGCCCCTTACTTGGTGCAGATGGCCAAACGCTTCTTACAGATAAAATTTCCATCCTGAATCGTTGGTCTGAACATTTTCAAACCCTCTTTAGTGCTAATCGTGTAGTCCAAGGTGAAGGAATCCAGCACATTCTGCAACATCCGGTGAAAAACGAATTGGATTTAGCCCCTACCATGGGAGAGACTCTTAAGGCCATACAGCAGGTGAAAACTGGCAAGGCAGCTGGGGTTGACGGAGTCCCACCTGAAATATGGAAGCATGGAGGCCAAGCACTCCACGCTAAATTTCATGAGCTAGTTTTGTGCTGTTGGGAACAAGGCAAAATACCATCAGACTTTCGTGACGCAATCATCGTCACTCTGTATAAGAAAAAAGGTGCCAAGTCAGACTGCTCAAACTACCGTGGTATAACTCTGCTCTCCATTGCTGGTAAAATTCTTGCAAGAGTACTATTGAACAGACTAGTACCTGCCATCGCAGAAGAACTTCTACCTGAAAGTCAGTGTGGTTTCAGGGCTAATAGAAGTACCACAGACATGGTATTTGCTCTCAGACAATTGCAAGAAAAGTGTAGAGAACAGAATAAGGGGTTATACGTAACTTTCGTTGACCTCACCAAAGCTTTTGACACTGTGAGCAGGAAAGGCTTGTGGCTGATCTTAGAACGATTAGGTTGCCCCCCCAAGTTCCTGAAAATGATTATTCTGTTACATGAGGATCAGCAAGGCCAAGTCAGGTATGGTGATGCACTCTCTGAGCCTTTCCCAATAATCAATGGTGTGAAACAAGGTTGCGTTCTCGCACCGACCTTATTCACAATCTTCTTCAGCATGATGCTCCAAAGGGCTACAGCAGACCTCGATGAACAAGACGGCATTTATATTCGATATCGTACCGATGGTAGCCTATTCAATCTAAGGCGACTGAAGGCCCACACTAAGACCCTAAACCATCTTGTCCGTGAACTGCTCTTTGCTGATGATGCCGCCCTTGTTGCCCACACAGAAGCAGCTCTGCAGCGTTTAACATCTTGCTTTGCGGAGGCGGCTGAGGTTTTTGGGCTGGAAGTCAGCTTGAAGAAGACAGTAGTCCTCTACCAACCTGCACCCCAAGAAGATTATCGCCATCCCCATATTACCATCGGCGAGTCAGAGCTTAAGACAGTTCAGGAGTTCAGCTATCTGGGAAGCATCATTTCCTCGGATGCCACGATCGACAAAGAGATAGACAACAGAATAGCAAAGGCATATAGAGCCTTTGGAAAACTCCATAAAAGAGTCTGGTGCAATAAACACCTGCAGAAAAGTACAAAGGTCAGTGTCTATAGAGCCATTGTATTGTCTACTCTTTTATATGGGTCTGAATCATGGGTCATCTACCGTCATCACCTGCGACTCCTGGAACGCTTTCATCAGCGCTGCCTCCGTACAATTCTAAACATCCATTGGACTGACTATGTGTCTAATGTCACTGTCCTTGAACAGGCGGGGGTCACCAGCATCGAGGCCACATTGCTGACACTGCAGCTGCGCTGGGAAGGGCACGTCTCTAGAATGAAGGATCACCGCCTCCCCAAGATCGTGTTTTACGGTGAACTTGCCACGGGTAGCCCTAAGAGAGGTGCCCCAAAGAAGAGATACAAGGACTCCCTGAAACAATGCCTTAGCCTTGGCCATATTGACTACCATCAGTGGTCCACCTTGGCCTCCAATCGGGAGACTTGGAGGCACACCATACATAATGCCGCTGACTCCTTTGAGAGTTCACGAAGAACTAGTCTCGAGGAGAAAAGACAACGCAGGAAGAATCGTGTCCCACCTGTCCCACCCAAGGAGACCTTCTGCTGTGCTTTTTGTACCCGGATTTGCCTATCCCACATTGGCCTTCTTAGTCATCAGCACGCTTGTAGTAAGTGTGGGTAAATGCCCTTCCCAAATCTTCGTTCGCGAAGTCAAGCCATGATGATGATGATGACAATTGCAACATTGTGTTGACACCCATGGGTCAATCTATTTTTCGTGAGTTAGTTTTAATTTCAGTCTGTCATTGCCGCTTGATATGATTTTCCAGGGTGCCTTTGGAGCCTTCTTGACTTGAGTATGATGAATCCAGACGTTTTGTTCTCTAACTTTGATAGCTGTGAAATTTGTGAGGAG